AAAGGGATGATGGTACAAAAAAGTGAAACGTCAATACTTAGCCGAAGCCTATTAAAACCTCTGCTGGTAGAGTATGAATCACCTGTCTATCTGTGCCCTGTGTGAACTACTCACAAGACTCTCACATGACAGACCGTCAGCATTTCCTTGTTCCGTTCTGTCTGAAATGAAGAGATTAGTTATCTGGAACTCTAATCGTGGGGCGACCAATCATGGACACAGGCGACCAACCAAAAATCCCCTTGCCCCACCGATTCTGCTCGGTGGTTACCTAACCCTACGAAAATACATTTAAGGAAATAATTCCGTGAGATACGAGCCTGATCCTGCCTTGTTTAGCATGAGCTATTATTTCGTCATGAGTCATACAATGCACAACGTTTGAAATCCTAAAAAGTAATTCAGGGTTCATACTAGGATAATTACTATGGCGGCCCACTACAGAGCACTAGCCGACTGTGGGTGGGGGTAGTGATCGTGGGAGGCGACTGGGCTCCAGGCTAACACAGCTCAGCCTTTTTGAGTTACAGGGGTAAAGATAAATACTACAAGTACAATCATGTTTCTTTCTTTCTAACCACGATTTTAACGGTCACCGTTTGAATCTCACGGTCAAGTCATCACGTGATATCACAGGACAAAGAACTATCAATTTGCACCACACCTAAATCAAAGTATTCATGAAACTTTTATTGATACGCTTCTTACATATGCAGAAGAAATGATTGTGCTTAGGGTAAAATAAAATGCTCAGTACCTTACAGTGTATATATCTACACATACAAATGCCAGTTTCATAAACGCATTCAAATACATCAGGTAAATGTCTGCAGTAAACATTATTACAAGCCCATACCTGAAGATGCACATATTTGCAACAGGAATAATATGAAAAGATATGATGGCTAATAAAGAAATATAGAATTAATATATATAACAAGTTAATGGTGCAAGAGAACTCTAAAACTTACTAGTATCTGATAGTTAAAACAAAATATTGCTGTACAGAGTAGAGTAACCACTTTTACATGGAAGGAATAACAGATCGCACTTCAAAACAATAACAGCCTTGTGCCATTGTAAACTTTATCTTGATCTACAGTGGTAGAAAGGGCACGTCATCCCCATCTCCAAACCACTGGTCGTCTGGATCTGGTAATAGAATTTTATCTTGCAATTCCGGAATGTTCTGCACGGGGGCATGTACCTGCACTTCCACAATGTTCCTAACTGGAGCCTGTTCTTGATGTTCCGGAATGTTCCGTCCGGCGGCTCCACCTCAGGAGGGGTGCCAAAAAGAAAGTTTAAAACCCACCTTCACGGCAAGAAGGTTTACTAGCCTGAGTGTCAACCTTGTTAGCTTTCGTTCGCTCCCGGTGGGGAGCGGATCTTGGGGAGCGAACGAAAGCTAACAAGGCTGACACTCAGGCTAGAAGGTTACCCCATCTGAAACACCTAATCTCCAAGTAGATCTGATGGAATCAAAGAAGCAGGACGGTATCCAATACGTCACCGTTTGGGATACTGGTACACAGAAACTAGGAAAAAAAAAACACGTCAAAACTAAGCCAAAGCTTAAGCCTCTGCTTGCAGAGTATGAGTCACCTGTCTATCTGCGCCCTGTGTCTAGCTCACAAGACTGTCTCACAAGACTGGCACTGCATTTCCGTCTGAAATGAAGCGATAACCTGTCTGAAACCCTGACCCTAACCTAACTCTCACCCCAGCTCATTTCCGTGCGCTGCAAGCCCGATCCTGCCCGACTAGTTTCGTTCCTGAGTCATACAATACAGCATTTGAAAAGTGATTCGATCGGCGTTCATACTATGCGGCTTTATCCAAGCACTATCCAACAGTCAGGGGGGGGGGCAGGGCAGCATATAGCCCACGCTATTTTTCTAACGGGGTTGGTCTTAGTTCGCCCAGTCTTGGTCACAGTCCTCTCTATTGACAGACAGTATAGTGCTACCACTGTAACGTCACAAACCACATGTTCAATGTTTTAAAAGAACTTTCATTCTCTATTGAGGGTCTGCATGGGGTGGGGCGTCCTGGCAACGCTTAACGGTAAATTCAGGACGGTCAGCAACGGTGTTTAACGGTAAATTGACACGTGTTTTAATTCAAACTGCACCAGAGAAAATTAAGTTTATCTTACATTTAATGAAGGACGCATTAAAGGTACTTCACACTAGCGTTCTATGTGTTTCCCGCCTGCCCTGGTCCCCGAGTTCGTCCACAGATGCTTGAAAAGGGGAATCGAGCGCCAAAGGCGCGGCCAATATAGGGGGTCCAAGGGCATGCTCTCCCGGGAAATTTTTGTATTCTTAAACCTACAATAAAACGTATTTTCCTGCATTTTGAAAGGGAGACATGCACGACATTGGTACATCTAGAAATGCCGCGGGAACATTAGAAAATCCAAGTTTGTCGACCATAACCCAGACAATCTTGAGCACACTGCGCATCACGAGATGCTTTGCTTGCAATGATTTACAAAGGGTTCTGGGACTACTCCATTGTGTTCATGGGGTGTGTGTAGCCTCCTTCGCAGTCTTGTTGGGCGTTATTTTTGTGAGCGACGCGAGTACTAGTAATATGCGGCCGCGAGGGACGATTTGCTGCCGAGGGAGTTTTTGCCACGGAGAGAAGGTTTCCCGCTTGTTG